CTCACGGTTGTTCACAACTTGAACCTCTTTAAGCTGACTTTGATGAGCACTAATTTAGCAGCGTTGCTGTTTCGTAGACGTTCCTTTTTACGGCCTCTTAAAATAATCTTGTTATTCGTAATCAGAGGAACCCCTTCTTTTTCTTATGTTGTAATGAAACTATATACTGCATAAGAGAAGTGAATGTCTGCATTACATATGTTACTCCCAAAATTAGAAATTTCTGCACCATATAGGATACTCAGGTACTCTACTCCTCGCATAACTCAAACACGATTAGCCGTAGAGCATCGAGATTTTGTACGTCGGCCTGCTATAACATCTAGTTGTGCACCTCCCTTTTTTATTAAAATAAAAGAAGTATATCTATGTGAGCCCTCCCACCCCTTGCCCGGCCTTTATTTTCACAATCCTTGGTCGTTGTCATGTCCTTCCAATTATAGAAGTGTTTCAAGTGGCAAAAATACTCATGTTTTGGCATTGTCAAATGAAAAAAAAAATAATAAACCCAAAAAAATCTGAAAGCTTTCAGATTTTAGGTTCTTCACACTTAAACCGTAAAATTCAATTCAACAGAGAGAGTGGGCCCACCAGTGGCCGAGCGGTAAAGTCGCTGAACACTGGTAGTTTGGTCCGAGGTTCGAATCCTGCGAACGGGCTGGCTGCATGGGTGTTTTCGTGGTTTTCCCCATGTGTACGTGGAACGAGCCGTTTCCTTATAAAGTCCTCCCAAAGCATCCTCCCCTTGGCAGATAGTCCTAGTGTGCTTTGCCGTAATTAAATACACCACACACCATCAATTCAACAGAAATATCACAAAATTATTTTAAAAGAGCATATTTTTGTAAATTTTCCGATACACAGTCTCACGCGCTGGAGACGAAGATCTTTTTTTCGTACAGTGTTACCACTGCTCGCTTTGAAATCGTTGAGTTTATTAATCAAAAGTTCGTAAAGTTTTGCAAAATATGAAAGAGATAATAAAACAAATTCCAAATTTGTGCTTCCAGATGCCCTTATTCGAGTAGAGGACTACTTTATTCAAAATTGGATGTCTCTAGGTAACGTTGTTTTGTTGTAGTGCGAGAAGCATGCATGCATTCATGCAGATTCTTCGTTATTTGATTTCTTTAAATATAACACAGGGCTATAATATTTGGTGGCAACAATCTGAAAAATGAATTGCCATTTATAGTGAGCCAACGCAAAGTACCAAAACGAAATTAATAGCCCTTCTGGGCTAATTGCCCCTTTGGACTAATAATTTTCGACAAATAATAAAATCTAACTTTTAATGCTATCTCCTTGTTCCTATACTTATATTTGTAAAGTGTTGTACTCGTTATGAAAAAAAAATAAAATTATACGTTATAAGGTATTTCTCCCGCCTTCTTAAGGTGCCTTCGTGGTGTAGTGGTTCTGCACGCTGGGCCGGTATTCCAGAGGTCCGTGGTTCGATTCCCGGCGAAGGCAGTTGCTAATTTTTCATCTTACCTGCTTCCAAAAATATTCTAATGTCTCTACAAGATATATTGTGTCGTACTTCCGTACGACAAAAATTGGTCGATGTATTTAATATCAAAATATGCAGTTTTTGTTGTCATTTTCAACTTGCACAGAGAGCTCGGTTGGAATAATTTTACGAAATATGTTCAAATGAATTTATATGAAATGAATAAAAAATGTATATAATTTAATAAGCCTTACGAAGAAGCCGTATGGTGTCTACACCAGACTTTTTATCTTAGTTAAACTATTCTTTCCACCCTCCATTTCAGAATAAATGGAGTTAAAAGAAAGCTTATTAATTATTACTAAATCTCGTAAGAGGTTACTTTAAAACTGAAAAGCAGATGAGGATCGTTTTCTAATGTTTGTACCATCATTAAACCTAGTAATTAACTTCTGTCGTTAATATTTTTATTTTTCTGTATAATGAACCTACATAGCTTAACAGAAACTCTTCCTCTTGAGGTATGAAGTCAGCGAAACAGAAATATTTGTGTTACCTATTAAACCTCCTAACACCTGAATTTAGATAGAAAATTAGCTCAAGATGCTTCAGGAAAAGAATACGAAACAAGGGAAAGGAAAAAAAGAGAAGAACTGTGAATGAGAAACTTATTACAACACCTTTAATTCTTTAATAATAAGGCTTGCGTTACGTTTGAGCTTATTGGTTTTAGAATTCTGGGTATTTATCCTTGGGACTTATTCACTTGAAATATATTCCTCGAGTATTTATTTGTCCCGATCGTGGCTTTTGTTTTATGTAGTTCAAGAGGCTTCACGAACGGTGAAATTATTAGATTTCCTCTTTAATTAAATGGGCGAAACTCTCTTAGTTTTAATTAATCTAATTTGTAGTTGGAGGTTTGGAAACTTTATTTTTTTAAAAAAGATTTTGAACAAATTGTGTTTTGGCAGTGCTTTTATAGGGCGATGTCTTCTTGATCTCTGTGCATGATAACTATTCTTTTTTTCTTTCTTTAGTGGCATTAATTATAGTGAAATCAATTTCATTACTGCCATTTGTTTTGCGAATGTGCATAGGGAATGAAGCAACACTTTCAGGAAATGGATTTATATATAGTCGTGTATTTATTGCGTTGTTTCAGAAGCCTTTAACCTCTAGTTTTCTTTCTTTAGTTTCTTCCTTAGGCTTCCTTTTAAAAGAAACGGAACGCACTAAAATCTTTTTGTACTGTCTGTTACTGAAGTTATAAGGTATTTCTCCTGCCTTCTTGGCACGCCTCCGTGGTGTGGTAGTCTCCACGCTGGGCGCGTATTTCAAAGGTCCGTGTTCGATTCTCGGCGAAGACGTTGCATATTTTTAATCTTGTCTGCTTTAAAAAAATAAAAAAAAAAAAACGTAATGTCTCTACAAAGTAACTGATTAGATTAAAACGTGAATAGTCAGGACAATAATTTAAACAAGGTGTTTAGAGAATAAATTTTCAAGAAGAGATGTTGATCTTTATTCAAATATATTAGCTAAGAATGTTTATTTGAGTGTATGTTGTGTGAAATTAAATATACGACTTATTAATATACGACTGAAATTAAATATATGACTTAAGTTAAATAAATAGTATAGTAGTCACTGGAATTGTGCTAAATTTAAAATTTATATCGACTTTTTTGAAACAGAAACGAATTTTTCGAAATAACTTCTGATTTACAAATCGTTCATATTATAATTGTATGTCAAAAACATTATTCTCATAATCTTATTCCCCACCTGAAAATTAGTTATATAATATTTTAATACTGACATTTTTAGCCTAAAAGTCCCGAATGGGATATTAGTATCCGAAAGTCACTTTGCTTTGAATAACTATAAACGGTCTATCACTTTTCAAATGGTTGCCACTAAATATTATTGCCCTGTATTATATTTAAAAAAATTAAATAACCGTGTGCGTGTCTCTGGCATTGTGAAAAAATAATGATACCCAGAGCCATCAAATTTTGAATAGTGTAGTCCTCCACCCGAACATGTTGACCTGCAAGCCCGAATTTGGAATTTGGAATTTTTTTATCTGTTTCATGTTTTGTAAAGCTTTAAAGAATTTTTGCTGAACAATTTCAAAACGAGCAGTGGCGACACTGTACGAAAAAAAACATTTTTATTTCTACCGCACGAGACTGTCTATCCGAAATTCTGAACATATGCTGTTTTTAAATATTTTGTGATTTTGCTGTTGAATCGAATTTTATCTGGCGTAAGCGCCAAGAACGTAATAATCAATAAGTAAATATACGAAATGTTTATTTTAAAAATGCAAAAAAAAATTGTTAAGCCATTTTAGTAAGAAAACTGAACATTGATATAATGAACTGAAAAAAGGAAAAAAAAAAAAGAAGTAATTTAAAATCTGAAAGGTCTCAGATTTTAAATTACTTCGAAAGGGGCGCTTTTTAACATTTTGTTTGTTATCTTTATTCATTAAATATCATGTTCTACGTACTCAAACTATAAAACTCAATTCAAGAGCAATATCGGAAATTAGTTTTAAAACGAGCACATCTTTAGAATTTCCGATACAGAGTCTCGCGCGATGAAGATAAAAATGTTATTTTTTTATACAGTGTTGCCATTGCTCGCTTTAAAATCGTTTATTGCTTTAATCAAAAATTCGTTGAAGTGTTACAAAATATGAAATCGATAATAAATCAAATTTAAATTTGGGCTTCCAGATTCCCATTTCGGATGAGGATTACGTTATTTAAAATTTGATAGCTCTAGGTACCTTTGTTTTATCACAGTGCGAGGAACGGGAATCGAACCCGGGCCGCCAGCGTGGCAGGCGAGCATTCTGCCACTGAACCACCGATACACCAAATGCGCATCGGTGGTTTTAAGATTCAGTGGTAATCCAAGTTTGTCGAAAGTGTGGTGGTTCAGCAAAACATAATATCACATCTCATATCAATAAATCAAAATCAATAACCACCAATCAATAAAATATAAATTGATTTAATTAAATATAATAATATCTCAATCTCAGAAATCGCACATCATCCATCGAGTCTCAGCACACACTTAGTGGCGCTCTCAGCGCCCTCTAGCGTTAGGCGGGTCTTACCGTTATACATTTATGCAGATTCTTCATTTTTTAATTTCTTTAAATATAACATAGGGCGATAACATTTGGTGGCAACATTTTGAAAAGTGGTACGGACATTTACAGTGAATCGACGCAAAATGCCAAAACGAAATTTATAGCCCTTCTGAGCTAGCTCTCCTTTGGGCTAATAAAAAAAATGTATGTGTAAAATCTTTTGTTCTACAACATCGTCACACTTCTGTTAGTAATTCTGCGCATTAAACACGAGCGGCTCTTTAAACTGAAAGATAACGCATACTGTCTTCTGTTAATTTTAGATATTGTGCTTGTATAATATTATAATGTATTATCAGATTTATCTTATGAAAAAAAAACATAAATTGTAATGATGTTCTTTCATATCATAACTTATCTTGTTCTTTTTTCAAGCATTACGACTGCCGGAATCACATTCGAGTCATACAACCAATAGGTGATGGTAATCGTCTCTATATCTGCGGAACGAATGCTCATAATCCTATGGATTACGTCATCCACGTAAGTTTTATTATTTTTATTCTGACTAACTAAACTCCTGTAATATATGTATTTTACATTTTATCACTTTTGTTTACCAAGAATAAAAAATCTGACGCACAAGATTCGGTACTCAAGGCAGTTTTTATAATTTCACGTATTATTGAGAAAAACTGATTGCAATGCTTTTATATAAGATATTTTACGAAATATTAACTTACTTTACATGATTATGTAATCGTCAGTGGACAACTGTAAAGTTTTACATAATTCTGCTCAGAAAGGAGCTGTTAATGCTTTTTATCTCGAATTATGTAAATTATTGAGTCTTTTACAATAAGTTAGTGAATCTTATTTCCTGACGGTTAGCTTTTCATAGCACGTTTAATGTATTAGATTTGGTTTGGTTTAGTTGATTATGGCAAAGGACACTAGCGTTATCTGCCTAATGGGAGGGATGCCTTTGTGGACGTTCTAGAGAAAACTAACTCATGTACACGTTACGCATGTAGAAAACACGAAAACGCTCATGCAGCCAGCCCTTTCGCTTGCAATCGAACCCAGGTCGAAACTACCAGTGTTCAGTGAGTTTATCACTCAGCCGCTGGTGGGTTTAAATGTATTAGGAAAGGGCCCAATTTGCAACAGTGTGTGAATTACTTCACCCACGGACTAAGTCACTATGCTAAGAAGGACTAAGTAACGTAATTTTGTGTTGTTTTCCCACTATGATCCCACCCATTTTGTGCCGGAAGAAATTGTTCTGTTATTATTTATTTTTAGTTTTTCACATGTGCAGTATGAGAACAGGTAAAGTTCTGCAAGTAGAGAATCTCTCCCCAGTGCGTATGATTTTCTCATACTCTGCCATCATGAGTAAATCCAACTTTTTCTGTTTTAAGGCATATAATCGTAGCATGGGGGAAAACATGAATTAGATGCAGTTCGTGTGCAAAATAGTAAAAACAAGTCGTCAAAACAATGTAACTATTTAACTAGCATAGTTAACCTAATTAACTGTTAAACTACATCCTGTTTAATATTTCTGTAAGAAATTATTATCTTTGCACTCAATTTGAAGTCTTAAACTGCAGAGACATAAAAAACACATAAAACTTAACTAAACTAACTATTCCATTTTGCATCTTTATAAACAATTATTTCAAGAGAAACCTTTTTAAAAAATTATTTTGACTAGTTTTTCAAATAACTTGCTCAAACCAGTGTCATTTAAATTTTTTAGTTTCTGTGATCGTTCGTGATTTGCAAATAGGAAATTAAGAAGTTTATGACATAATTTTCTTATTAATAAACATCCTGTAGATGAAAAATGTCTCATTATTTTCTATATTAAGACACATTTTACAGCAGTTTCTTAAATCGTAAGATATGAAGTAATAAATCTAATCACAGCTGCAATATGATGCTGCAATCACAGCTGCAATATGATGAATGCAAATAATTGCATTTCATCTTCTCGGCGTATCCTTTTAAGGACGTTTGACGTCCATAATAAACTGAAAAGATTACGAAGAAAGAGAGAATAACTTTGTAATCTTGTAGTTACGGCATTTTTGAGATAGGGACTCCATCACCAGGATTTGTAAACTCAATGGAAATGTGTTCTTCTCCCCCCCCCGAAAAAAAAAACACTCCCAGAATATTTGTTGACTGCTACTGCGATTCGAAGAAATACCAGAGACAATCGAAGCAAATAGCTTGAATCACATTCGAAGATAATTATCACTGATTCTGAAAGCTAACCTGTGTAAAATTATAACAGTTTTTTGAAAAATAAGAAGACAATTATTCATGCCCAACAGGTAAATTTGATAACCGCATTCGAAATCAACTCAAAACTGTTAAAATGATCCGTAACTTGTATTTCCAACTCACTGAAAGAAATAAAAATCGTAATGTTACGTACGTACGGGTTCGTAGTAGATTGAATGCACACAGAACCGATGATAGCTTAATATATCTTGTCAAAAAGAAACACTTAAATGTTTTGGAACTTTTCACAAGAAATACTCGTACAGCTCTTATCACAGAATACAAGCAGTAGTTATACTTCAAACAACTAAGAACGTTAATTACAACGCAACACAAAGCGCGACGAAAGAGCGAAGCTAACACGAAGATACCTCAGTACTCCGAACGCATACTGAACTAAACAACAACTGCCTATGCTCCCCCAGCCGTTGAGAAATCTGTAGTACTTTTCGGAATTACTGGAAGAGACCTGTGAGAATCGGATACGTTACAGTTAGATATCTAGATTAAACGCATTTATTCAATCACAGTACCAATTACAATTACATATGGAACGCGGTTTGGCGACTTTCGTCAAATTTAACCACAAAATTTAATCGCCAAAACTGTCGCCAGCTTGGCGATATCTTGCAAATTTAGCGAGATAGCCATTTACTCGATGTTAAGTAGACTTGGCCCAGTGTTCTTACTTTTCCGGCAAAGCTTCTCTTCTTTAGATTTTTCATATTACATTACACCAAAAAATACTGCAATTTCACGTATAATTTCTCTAAATTTATTGCAAAATGCGTTACAATACTGTCATTTGTAAAACCGTTTTAAATAATTATTTTTTCAGGGATTCTCTTTTATTTCTCCAAATACAAATGGAGTGAGTTAATTTAAATGTCGTGAATATGTCATATATAATATTTGCCTATACTTCCAATTTAAACTAGAACGTATTTATAGATAAATTTTAATATTTAAATATTATTTCCAGCAGCAATGTATTATTTGTATTTATTATGTCGCTGAAGAGTAACTTAATTACATATTTCGAAACGTTTGGTTTATCCTTCTTTTATTATTTAAATACAGGAGAAGGAAACATCTGAAAGCAGTTAAAATATTTTTTTCTTTTATTATTCTTTATCGATATTGCAATTTACTTCAGTCTGAACGGGTGATAAAAAAATCAGCCTTTTTTTTATAATAAAGTGGGATCTAGCTTAAATAAGTTAAATAATATCTATTCCTTTTAAAAAATTGGAACTAACCACATATTGCATAAAAAATGGATAAATAAGTAAATGAAGAAAGCGTAAAATGTATAAAATAACACGAGGCAAATTAAGTTAAACTAAAAAAGGCGACTCCCAAATGCGCTATAATTTATAGAATATCTTGCCAAAGAAAAAAAAATAGCTTAATTATTGGAGGGGGGAAAGTTTCTTTTCTTGATAAATATTTCAGCATCGTTACTCTGTTTGGATTCACCGGGGTACACAAGAGCCAAAAACATTGTTTGAACAAATATTTAATTTACAATAGTAGTAAAGTGCGGATTTGCTGAAGAAATAAAAAGTAGCAGAGTTGGGTGTTTTATAAATAACACCGAGTAATGTTTCGTATTGGAAAAATGTATTATGAAGTTAATAGCTTCGTGTCAATTACTACGTAAACCTGAAACATTTCAGTAATTACTCATTACTTCTACTAATGATAATCATCAGTATCATCATCGTAAAAAAAACACCGTCATTAAAAAGTAATCAGGAAAATTCAGTAGTCCGTAGAAATGATGGAAAACTCTAAATGAAGCTTCTGTATTTACTGGGGGAATAAATTAAGTTCTTTCATAAAACAAAACTTAAATTAACAGAAAACGAATGGTACTTTTCGATGCTTCAAATGACTCGTTGATAAAAATTAACTGCTTGTGAATTTTATTTATTCGAAAAATATTCTGCATTGTCTATGTTTCTTGTCTGTAAAATAATAATTCAATGCCTTTTCTTGTTTTTATAATTGAACAAAAACATATCTCTGTGGGATTATGTGTGCTTTAATCTATGATGAATATTGTTGCGTTCTATGAGTTCATGGATTTGGAGTAATTGACGATAACACTTGATGAAGAATTAAAACGCAATTTATTCGCCACTGTTACATAGGACAGTTCCTAAGACACGCTACAGTCGTCGAAAAACTACAACAAACACGCTGAAACAATCAGCAATATAGCCTTCATACTATAACGGTAAACCCAAATTCATGTCAAAACACTAAAGTACAGCTCCCGACTCCCCCCTACTTAGTCACGGTAACAACGTGGCCTCAAGTAAGCATAACACGCTCTAAAATCAACTTACGAAACCTTCGCTTAAATAGTACTTATTTTTCCATCAATCTAAATAAACTCTCCCTACGTCATTTACATTCTGGCATGAAAAGCTTCAGTGAAAAGGAGAGCGGCAGGAAGTTACTTAACTCGAAATTAACCATTAGTCAAAAATCCTTACAGCGTGTTATTGAGTATCATTCTTTAGTAAGAAAGCATTGCTTTTTTGCAGCCTAAAAAAAATTTTTTTATTTATTTTCATAATGAATAGGGTCGATTAAAACGGTAGTGATCAATATCTGTGCATCTAAAGGACAATTTGCGCACAATAATGTCTTAGCGTAATGAAGGAGACAATAAAATTTCCGCACATTTGATTTTCAGAATCGATTTACAATTTCTTTACCCATACGTTAATTTTCAACATCCTGTATCGATTCATCATCTTTTCTACTTTCGTAAAAAAATTTTCGTTGTAAGTCCATTTGGGCGAGGTTCAGTTTCTTTTCCCTTTTGTAAATTATTTTAGGTGTTAGAAACATATCTTGTACCGTTTACTGTATAATTGTGAAGAGTTCCAGACTTTTAAAAAGGTCTTTAAACCAAAATGCTGAAATCAATGTGTGGGTTGGTACCTGAAGTACCTCAAAGTTGGTAAAGTTATTCGGACTTCTTTCGTGGTAGTTCAAAAAACACAAAGAACAACATCTGTCACAGCTTGGAAGCTGTAAATTTAAACAACACCAACACAAAAATGGTGAAAACTCTTAAATCCTCTAAAATTAATTCTGTAAAATTCCAGCAATATGAACTTTTTTATCTCGTGAAAAACAAAATTTGAAGCGTTTGCTGTATATATATATGTGTGTAATATTTTCAGGCTCAGCAGGAATTTTGATTGCGTAGAAGAGTTTGTAAGGATTAT